GTGTGTGTGTGTGTGTGTGTGTGTGTGTGTGTGTGTGTGTGTGTGTGTGTGTATATGTTACCAGTGCCTGTGGAGGCCAGTCCTCCTGGAGCTGTAGTTGTTGGCAGTTGTGAGCTTGATGTGGATACTGGGAATTGAACTCTGGTCCTCTATGAGAGCAGCAAACACTGAACCATCTCCTAGATTGCCATTTATTCTTGTTTGTTTGTTTTTAGAGATTCAAGGTCTAATCGTTTATTTGTTAGTTCTTTTGTAGGGTTTCTATTTGTTTGTTCTTTTTTTATTTTTATTATTAGTTACGTTTTATTAACTCTGTATCCCAGCCGTATCCTGCTCCCTCATTGTTTGTTTGTTTGTTTTTGATGGTTTGTTTGGTTTGGGGTTTTTTGAGACAGAGTCTCTTTATGTAGGTAGTCCTGATTGTCCCAGAATTCACCAGGCTGGCCTCAGATTCACAGAGATATGCCTGCCTCTGCATATCTGTCTGTAATCCCAAGTGCTAGGATAAGTGGCACTGCACCTGACTTATCTGCTGCTGTTAAAAACTGTTTTAAAGTCGGACATGGTGGCACATGCCTGTAATCTCAGCACTCAGAGACTCAGGGGCAAGTGGATCTCTGTGAGTTCTAGGCCAGCCTGGTCTATAAAAGCGAGTCCAGGACAGCCAAGGCTACACAGAGAAACCATATCTCAACAAACCAAAAAAAAAAAAAAAACAGATTGAACTCTGATTTAGGATTAGAAGCGCTTAGTGAGCACAGCCTATATCTCTTGGTAATCTGTTCCTGGCATTTTTCTTTGGCTTCCTTCTTGGCCAAAACTTTAATACATTCTATAGCCTCGTTTTCCTTAGTGCATTGTTTCTTCAGAGCAATACACTGGTGTTTGTGCCGCAGGACACAAATTTTGGGTGCTTTGGTCCTGGCTTCTCACCTTTACATAAGGGATTTCTGACAAGTTAATAGTTTCCTTTAGAGAGATGGAAAAGCTTCTAGATTCCACTGGCTCTTTTAGCCACCAAGGCACAGTAGTCTTGTCAGTCCAGAAATACATTTCTCTCCATTTTTTTTTAAAACAATAGAAAAGTGAGACCCCTCAGCCTGGCACCCACAATGCTTCCTGAACAGACTTCTGCTTCCTCCCTCTACTTCTCCTTGCTCCATAACGAGATGATCCTTATTGCTCACAACCTTTGACCCCAGCACTCAGGAAGCAGAAAGGCAGGTGGATCTCCAAGTTTGAGACTAGCCTGGTTTAAAGAATTAGGTCCAGGACATCCAGGGGCACATATAGGAGCCATATCTCAAGATGAAGGAGGGGGAGGAAAAGGAGAAGAAGGAGGGGGAGGAAAAGGAAAAGGAGAAGAAGGAGAGGAGGAGGAGGAAGAAAAGAATACCCCTCAGTCAACAGGAGCACTCTCTCTGCCCTGGGTCAAGACATCTTGCTTCATGGGAAAACCTTGCTTGTCGTTCCTACCACTGATTTGGACCACCCTTCCACTCTTCACCTGGAGCATCAGCAGCTACTTCTACAGCCATGCGCTTCTCACAGAAAGTACAAAATTTGTAACCATTGTCCACTTCAATGAGCTCCTGGTGACAGGTGGCAGGGAAGACATATTCAGCTTCATCTTGATATAGGTGGCTGCCTAGGAGGTGCCATGAGAAAGTACTCCAAAATTATTCATATTTTAGGTGTCAACTATGTCAACTCAGGACATAAAAGCTCAGCAAAGTCCCTGACCTTAAGGACTCAAAATTCTGGATGTCAAAAGGCAGGATTAAAATGTATTCACAAATAAGAAAACACCCAGAAATAATAAAACTCTTAATAACTACTTCATGGTTAGCTAGAGAGTGATGTCTAAAGTACCTTCCGTCAAGGGATCGAATAAACTGAGACCAGAAGCCAGGCATGATGGTTTTGCAATTCCATCACTTAGAAGGTCAAGGCAGGAGGCTCACAGTAAGTTTGAAGCCAATCTGGATTACATAGTATGTTTCAGGACAGCCTATGTTACAGTGTGATACCATCTAAAACAAACGACTTAGGAATTAATTGATTGGTTGATTTTAAAACTGAGACCTGGAGGATAAGAAAGTATAGCTGTGGAAAGATCTGGAGACAGTGGGCTGCTGCAGAAATGAACTCATGTTCTTCCGCAAACAGGAAGAAGGCCATGATATGTGGAGTGAAGTGGGAGAAAGAGAGGGCGATGGAAATGTGGCCAGAGGCTTGGCACAAAGGACCTCAAGGCCAAGATAAAGACCTTGGGTTTTTCTCCTAAGTTCAATGAGACACTGCCAGATATCTTTAGATAGAGACATACAGGATCTGGTGGGCTGCCGAGTGAAGAGAGGAGTGGAAATCTTAAGACTTCCTCAGGAGAGCCGGAGCGAAGTTATTCAGCTCTCCAGGTAAGAGGCGAGGCAGCCTGGATTGGAGCAGAGCAGATGGAGATGAAGCATCAGAGCTGTTAGACTGATATGGTCATGGATCACAGATAACTTCCAGGCTGTGAGGAAGCAGCTGGGCAGATGGCGTGTGACGAGGGAAGAGAAGTCTGCAGAGAGGAAGTTGAGAGTTTTGTTAAGAAGAGTTTGCTTGGATGCCATCAGGCCTCGGTTCTGTGACATATGAACCATGACATTGGAGTCCAGAGCTCAGAAATGAGGTTGTGTATAATCCCCATGATATCCTACAGAGGGGGGTTTAGCCAGGAACTCTCGTCACTTTCAATCCCACTTTTGCTTCCAGCTTCTCTTTTCTTTTTTCTCACCCACTTTCCTTTTGGTTTTGGGTTCTGGAAGTGTTTCACTCTTAGCCCAGGCTGTCTTGGAATTTACCATGTAGCAAAGGCTAGCCTCAAAAAATCCCAAGGCTCTTTCTGCCTCCCAGGTCTGGGATTGCACGCAAACACTATGACTGTCTCAGCCATACTTTCCACAGAGTGGTTTGCCCGTGCTCTTTGCTTCACTCTCCAAACCCCAACTTAATCTAATCTTCTGGTTGGTAAAGCCAGCCAATGGGCAGGACTCTGACCCACTGTTTTTGTGCCCATGATTATGTTACAGTAGGTGGCAAAAGGGACTCTGTAGAGGAAATCAGGTTTAGTAATCAATTTACTTGAAGATACAGAAATTATCCTGGGTACTTGAGTTGGTTTAGTGTAATTGCGCAAGCCCTCAGGGCTAGAGGTAGTATTATGGTACAGTAATCGCCCCTTTTCTGAGGCTCCGGGGATCCATCCAAGAAGCCAAGCAGTCAACAAAAGTGAAGTAAGCTGGGCATGGCACACACGAGTTGCCCTTTTGTCTCCCTCTTCCACTGATTCTCCTTCCTCTGCCCTGCCAGTGCCCTTCTAGTTGCATGTCTTGTTTGTTTGAATGACCTAACTTTCACTCAGGTTTCTTAGAGGAACATGGGTGAATTGTTACAACAGCATGAGCCCCTCACCAGTGGCTACACCATTGAAGAAAATGCCTCACTGGGTGGTAGTGGCTCACGCTTTTCATCCCAGCAGTGGGAGACAAGAGGCCGGCAGATCTCTAGGTTGGAGGCCAGGCTGGTCTACAGCGTGAGTTCCAGGACAGCCAGGACTACACAGAGAAACTGTCTCAAAAAAAAAAAAAATCATTGGACTTGTATACATCCTTAGTGATGGGCAGGGCATACATGAGTCCTTTCTCTTTTCATGACACTGTGTCAACTGATCCCACCTTGGACAAATTTGTACAGATAATTGTTTTCATGAGAAGAGATCTTACCATGTAACCTAGACTTGTGGTCCTCCTGCCTCCACCTCCCTAGAGCTGGGATTACAGGAGTGCACCACTATGCCAGCAAATTAATGGTGAACAAGAGAGAAATAATACAGTCCATAGTGACCTCATGTTGTCAGCCTTCTTGGTTCTTTTCAGATTTCATTTTTCATGACCCCTCCATGATATGCCAAAATTCCAACGATTATTACACCATAATGCCAATCATTTCACCTTCTTTTTGTGGTTCTGAAGATTGAATTCAGGTCCTTGGGAATGCAAGACAAAGTCTCCCAACTGAGCTGTAGCCCCATACCCATTTCTGCTTTCTTAAAACCTCGGTTCAGGGCAGTAGGGATGGCTCAGTGGATAAGTGATCAATGTCCAGACATGAAGACAAATCCCTGGAGTCCATATAATGCTCAGCATAGAATTACATGTCCATAGTCCTAGATCTCCTACTGAGAGAGCTGGAAGGTGGAGACAGGAGGACCCCTGAAGCTTGCAGCCCAGCCAGCCTGCTGTATGCAGCAGTGAACAGTAGAGGGCTGCCTGAGGACCCAAAGCTGTCCTCTGATCTCCACATCAGGCTGCCCCATAATATTAATACATGTAGTAAATACAGACTGGGCCAGGCATAGGGACACACACCTTTATTCCAGTACTTAGGAGGCAGAGGCAGATATATGTCTGTGGATTTGAGGCCAGCCTGGTGTATATAGTGAGTTCCAGGCTAGCCAGAGCTATGTATGAGATCCTGTCTCCAAAAAAACAAACATCCAATCTGGTTGAGCTGTGGCAAGCACAGGAATCTTCCAAAACCTCTCTCTCCTCCTCCTGTGACAACATGCTCTGTCTTTCTGATCACACCCTCTCAATGTTCTAGACCAAGCACTTTTCTGCTTGGCTCTTTTCTCTCCAAGGTTTCCATCTTTGATCTATATTCTATTCTCTACACTTTAATGTCCCCAAGAATGTCTTGACTGGATCTCAAGCCCACATATTCATATATGAGCCAGGGTAATGTGACAGGTATAGATGCAAAGAGGTGTGAACTAGAAACATGTTATAAGAGGTGTTATAACCTAGAAAAAATGGCGGGCTGTGGAGGTGGAGGGACAGGAGGAATTAAGAGAAACGTCTAGGTCTTCGACTTGGGCAAATGGATAGATGATGGTCCTGTAAGGAACATGAGAGCATTTGGGGCTTGAGGAAAGCAATTCTGTCTTGACATTGTGAGGTGAAGGAGCATGTAAAGCACAACTGGAGATGGTTAGCAGGCCCCTGGACTTGGACTAGCAGCATGAAGGAGGGAACAGGAAATACCCATTTGGAAGCCATCAGTATGTTATACTTGACACAGCTGCAAGCCTGCAGCAGTCAATCACTGTAAGAGATGACAATCACTTATAGAGCCTGGGACCTGAGCTGTCAGCAGAAGAAAAAGAGAAAGGTGACATGGGGTTCAGTTCAAGAAGGTACACCCAAGAAGGAAGGACAGGGAAACTGTCGTGGAACAAAATGAGAAGTGGTTTTTCAAGTCAGAGGAAATGATTGGCACCCTCATAAGCCATGGAAACATCAAGAAGATAAGTCCAAACAGCATCTGTAGGTTTGTAAACTTGAGGTCACAGCAACTCTGAATAAGTCCCTGGGGTAGAATCTCACTTGTGGCATCGAGGAAAAAGTAAGAGTAGATTGCACTGTCATGAAACACGGATGAGAAGGAAGACAGTGTGACAGGGTTGAGTGGGTGTGGCACTTCTATCATACAGCTAGGGCCCCTAGACCATCCAGAAATCACTGCCCACAGCCTGTAGCCAAGGGCCAGCCAAGGAGATCTAAACAAGCTCTCCAGATCGTTTGCGTTTAGTCCTTGTTTCTTGCTTTTAACTGAAACTTAAAACCACTAATCCGGGGACTGCAGGAACTGCCAAGCATTCATGGGCACAGGCTGCTCTTCCGAAAGACCACAGTTCAGTTCCCAGGGCTGACATGGCAGCTTAACTCCTGTCCTAGAGGATCCAGTGCCCTCTTCTGCCTCTATAGACACCAGGCTTGCATAAGCTTACATGCAAGCAAGATACTCACACACATAAACTAAATTTCAAAAATAGCATAATGAAAACTGACGCATGATAAAACAGGCGTGAAAGCAGGCCTGGCGGCACACGCTTGCAGTTGCAGCACTCAGGAGGTAGAAGCAGAAGGGTCAGGTCAACAGCCTTCTTGGTTATCGAGTGAGTCTGAGACCAGCCTGGGCTCTGTGGATGACTCTTGCAAATATCCTAAGTAAAAAGACATTTAAAAAATAACAACAACAAATCCTGCATATGACTCCACCTTTGGAAGAAGTTAAATGCACGGATACACAAAGTGCATCACTGGTCGCCATTGGCTGAGTGGATGGTAGAATGGTGCTTGGCTTCCTGGTTTTTGTTTTTTTTTAAGATTTATTTATTTATTTCATTATGTATACAATACAATGTTCTGCCTGCATGTACATCTGAACACCAGAAGAGGGCACCAGATCTCATTTTAGATGGTTGTGAGCCACCATGTGGTTGCTGGGAATTGAACTCATGACCTCTGGAAGAGCAAGCAGTGCTCTTAACCTCTGAGCCATCTCTCCAGCCCTGTTTTCGTGTTTTCTTTTTTGTTTGTTTGTTTGTTTGTTTTTGTTTTTTTGAGAAAAGGTTTCTCAATGTAACTCTGGCTGCCTGGAAACTCACTTTGGAGATCAGGCTGGCCAGGAACTCAGAGATCCACCTGCCTCTGCCTCCTGAGTTTGCAGGGATTAAAGGCATATGTTACTACACTAGGCTTGCTTCATGGTTTTTAACCTGAGGGAAAATGATTAGATCACAGTGATAATAACTAGATTACAAAGTGTGGTGCTGTCATCCCCTGGGGGCAGTCTACAAAGGAAGTCCAGGACAGCCAAGGCTACACAGAGAAACTCTTGTCTTGAAAAAAAAAAAAAAAAGATTACAGTTGCACTTTGAATATACCAAAAATCACAGACTTGTGCCCTTTGAGTGAATGACTTTTATGATACATAAATCATACCTCAACAAAGATGTTGCGTTTCCCAGTTAGAGTCATCTTGTCCCATTGATTTCAGAGACCACAGGCGGGGATCCCCTACTGTGTGGAGGTGCCTGGGGGATGGCAAGACGAGATTGGATGAGTGGAAAATGGGTCTGGTGCTCAAACAGTTCACCTAGAGGTAGGGAGAACGACACTGGGATCCCCTAATTGGGGTCCTAAAAATGTTTAACCTTGGACTAATTTTTCTTCCGATGTGACAAATGAAAACAAGAGTCAGCACTTTCTATGGCCGATCTTTGGGAGGAGAGAAAGAATCTCATTGTTATACTAAGAGAAGTCCACCGCCTGTCGCTGCAAGGTGCCCCATCCACCGTAGTAGAAGCTTAGCTGGGGTTTTTGATCCTGGGAAAGTTGGTTTCCCTGCGCTTTGCACCGAGGGTAACGCGTCCGGGGGCGTTGCCTAGCAACAAGATTGCCTTGTGCAGCATGGCGACCAGAGACTCCAGCGATAGTTTCGTGACCAAGGACACAACCGGGACCTTGAGCGAGGCCGTGCGTGAGCACCTGAGGAAGCTGTGTCTTCGCGAATTCCCGTGTGGCACCGGGAGCTGGGTGCGTGCTCTCCCAGGGACAGAGGGAAGGAAGGATCCGGCAGGGGCGGAGCTGAGACTGGGCCAGAATAGCCTTGAGGAGTGAACTGAAGTAGGTAGTACCTAGCTGGGAGTTGGACCGAGCAGGTTTGGATGTGGTCATTTCAGCAGTGGCTGGTTTGGGGTTTGGAGTGAACACTGAAGGAATGCAGGAACCAAGTGTCCACCTTGCCATGGGAGCACCCACCCAGGATGCAACACATCAGGCTGACCTTTGTCCTCATGCTACCCTAGAGCAGCTGGCTGGCCAAACTCCAGATGCCACGCTTCCCTGACTCTTGAAGAGCTTCAGTCTTGATCAGTTTGCTCTATAGATCCTCATAAGATGTGTAGAAGATGGTTCCCCTGTGCTCTGGGGCTACAGGGCCAGCTTTCCCCTTTCTGAGGATCCATGTGGGGAAGGATTTCCTGCCTCTGCCGCCCTCCCTCCTTCCCCTCTGTAGCTGTGCTGGACTCAGGACATAACCTCTGCCCTGCTTCCAGGCTAAGGGGAGACAGGAAATACAGCCAAGGGCGCAGTCAGCACAGCGGGGGTGGGAGGGTGGGAGGGTGGGCATCAGTCTGGGCTTGAAAGTCTTTTTCCCTGTTCAGCTCCCACACTCCTCCTGCTCAGTATGCAGAGGGATCATTGTCACCAGCTGAGTGCACAGGGTGGGGTGAGGAGATTAGATTTTGATTAGATTAGACAAAGCAAAATGGGTCTGAAGAGGTCTGAACCAGCCTGATGGGCTCGGCTGTCAGCTGGGCCTCCTCCCCTCTCCAACTCTACCCTAAGTAAAACAGAAAAACTTGGGCCTTCCCCCTGTAGAGGAAAGCCAACACACTCCATTTGTTCAGTCAACAGACACAGGTTGAGCACCTGCTCTGTGGTAGGCACTGCACTAAGTTTTAGGGCGTCAAGGATTTATCTAAGGAGGGAGACAGAGCTAATTGGCAGGGTGTTTTCAGTGTCTGTCTGGGGTGAGGCCCTTAGCCCTACCCCCAGCACCAAACAGCCCTTGAGACCCGAAGAGCTGCGGTTGCTTGGAGGGAGTGGATGAGCAGACTCACCTCTTACTCAACAGAACTAAAATCCCTCCTTCTGCCTTGCCGTCTCTTTCCTTCTGCGGATTCGAAGTTTCCCAGATTGCCCACTCAGCCTCCTGTCCACACTTGTGTATACGTGCCCTGTGAAATGTAAAATCTCCTTTTATTTATTTTTAAAAGATTTATGACATTATTTTTAATTCCATGTCTCTGTTTGGGTATGTGTGTGCCAAGGCAGGTGCTCTTAGGCCAGAAGAGCACATTGGATCTCCCGAAGCTGGAATTTCAGGTGCTTTTGAGCTGCCTGATGTGGGAGCTGGGAACTGAACTTGGGTCTTCCGGCAGAGCAGTGAGTACTCTTAAAGTACTGAGCCATTTCTCCAAAGTTTCTCAACTCCAGAATAAAGTGAAAACAAAAACTTGGTCTTCTAACTATTCTGTGTCTTGCCAGTGTCGATGGCAAATATATGTATTCTCAGTGCTCGGGAGGCCAAGACAGGACGATTAAGAGTTCAAGGCCAGTCTAGGCTTCACAGCAAAACTCTGCCCCAAAATAATTAGCATGTGCCAGGCTTGTAGCTCAGTGGGTGGAGTCTTCTCTAGCACTCACAAAGCCCTAGGTTGGAGGTCCTGCATCTCATCATACCTAGTGTGGTGGTGCATGCCTGTAGTCCCTGAACTTCCAGATGGGAACAGGACAATCAAGGTAATCATCAGCTACTCAGTGAGTTCAAAGCCAGCCTGGTCTACATAAGACCCTGTCTCAAACAGACAGGACCAGGGAGATGGCTCAGTGTGAAAAGCTCTTCCCGTTAACCCCAATGATCTGAGTTTGATCCCTGGGAGCCATGTGGCCTGCAAATTGTCCTCTGAGCCTGTGATGGCTATTTCTGGTTGTCAACTCTGCTGTGGCTGGGGTTAACTAAAATCTAAGTGGCTGGGTATGTCTTGTGAGGAATTTGTTTTCTTAAATTAGTCATCGGAAGGGAGAAGACCCTCTTGAAATATGGATCTTTTGAGGTGGGAAGATCCACTTTTATCTTGGCCACACCTTCTGCTGGCAGCCTGTATAAAGGACACAGAAAAAGAAAGCTAGCTCTCTTTGCCTGCTTGCTCTCCCCAGCAAGTCCACTCCTTCCTTAGCATTAGAGCTTACTTCTTCAGGATTCTGGCATATACTGAAGACTTAGATGAGAGATATCAGCCTTATGGACTGAACCACTACTGGATGCTTGGACCTTCTGTTGGTAGGCAGCCATTGTTAGACGAGCTGGACCACAGCCTATAAGCCATTCTAATAAATCCCCTTTAATGTGTGTGTGTGTGTGTGTGTGTGTGAAAGAGAGAAAGAGAGAGAGAGAGAGAAGAGAAGAGAAGAGAAGAGAGACAGCGGTGGGGGAGAGGGAGAGAGAGATTTCGTATTCTGTAAGTTCTGTTCCTCTAGAGAACCCTGAATAACACAGAGCCCCATGTGCGCTTGCTGTGGTGAGCACACGTCTGCACACAAGCAGGCCCAACACAATAAATAAGTGTGAGAAGGCCTCCACCTCTACCTCTGCAGAATAAGTCACGCTTTCTTCCTCGAACATGGCACACCTGGAGGGAAATGGTCCCAAAGGAAGAGGAGACAGTGAGTGCAGGAGAGGAGACTGTGGAGGCCCTCTTGGGCCTCGTGCGAAGCCACCACTCTCCTTGGGCCATGCTGAAGGACTCCAGTGCCGAGGACTGTTTCCTGAGAGAACTGGCCATCCGGAATCCTCAGATGATCAAAGACACTTTCTTCTACTCCTACTTCCGGTCCCTGAGGGTAGTGGACAAGGGGGTAAGTGTTGGGTGTAATCACTGGGTGGATGACGATGCTGGGACACCCTGCCCATTAGAGCAGCTTAGGTGGCAGGAGGGCCTCCATGACTTTGTTTCTCCCTCCCACCCCCTCTCTCTGTCTCTCTGTCTCTGTCTGTCTCTCCCTGAGACAGGGTTTCTCTGTGTAGCCCTGGCTGTCCTAGAACTCACTCTATAGACCAAGCTGGCCTCGAACTTACAGGGATCTACCTGCCTCTGCCTCCTGAATACGGGGAATAAAGGTGTGCACCACCTCAGCTGGCCTATGTGTCTGTCTCTTTAACCCCAGAGGAGGTGAGTCCTGTATCGTCTATGGCTGGCCCCCTGCGCACACTGCAGTGGGCTCTCCTTCCAAAGGATCCACAATGTCTCTTTTTACTTTAAAGTGTGAAGAGAGGTGCTTTTGAAGTGATTTGATTAAAACAGGTCTGTGACTCACGCATACCACTTTATCCGGGACTTTCTGAAGCCTGGGGAATACTCCCCCTGCCCGACAATCCTAGGCAAACTGGCAGACTTGGTCACTGCAGGAAAGGGAAGCCCAGCCAGGAAGGGCTTCTGATGTCCTTGAAGTCACAGGAAATTGGGATTCATGGGTAGGGTGATGAGGCAGCTGGTAGACCCTGCTCTGTCTGACCCAGAGTAATTCTGGAAGACCAGACAGGCCAACGATTATATGATTTTTTTTTTGGGGGGGGGGGAGATGTAAAATTTATCAAGAAGTGCCAACAGCCCTAAAAACAACTTCCTGAAGTTCTTGTTGCTGACTACAATGTGTTTATTGAGTTGCTTATAGATGTGATGGATGCAAACACTCCCATCCACACCCACACCTCCCTACATCCTTCCATTCTTCCATTTCCCAAAATTTGGTTGGCTCTGAGTCCATAGAGGGATCCAAGCAAGCCTGAGTTCTCAGTATCACCTAGAGGTAAGCAAGGCTCGGAGAACAGGATGCAGAGAGAATCACACCATGACAAAGAATGTTTATGTGTGCTCCAGCACCTCTGCTGGTCTCAGGAGACACTGTGGAGCAGAGGAAAGGATGCCTGGCGTTTCCTAAAGAACAGCTAAATGGCAGTTTGCAACAAGGTGGAATTACCCTGAGGGCTGCTCTCCTACAGCAGTAGTTCCTTGGGCTCATGTGGTATAGACAGAAGAAAGGAACCTTGTTTCCCAAGAGTCCCATAATCCAACATAGGGAGGACACAGGACCCTTTAGAGTCTGGAAGAGGCCTTTAACCCCTTCAGAACCACGCCATGGTTCTGTAGGAGGGAAAAGAGTGTGAGGTTGAAGGCCTGGGACTTAACTTGGAACGGACGAGTTTTGCTTTGACTGAGAGAAGTCCCTCACAGACTCAGGCATCTGAACACTTGTTTCCCAGTTCTCTGGGGGAAGCGATAGAACCTTTGGGAGGTGCAGCATGGCTGCGGGAAGTGCATGGATGATGGTGGGCTTTGGGGGGGGGGTAGGCGCATCCCACCTCCTTGTTCTCTCTGCCTCCTCTGTGTGGTCAGAGTGTGAACGGGTAGCTCCCACCTCCTGCTGCCATGCCTTCCCTCCATATGGACATCTAGCCCTCTGCAACCATGAGCCAAAAGAAGCTCTTCCTTCAGCTGCTTGGACATGGCATTTTGTCACAGCGGCAGAACAGTAGCTAATTCACCTGTTACCTTCCTAGCAGACCTGGTCACAAGCTTCTACTCCAGCGCTGCCTGGCTCACCAGAGTCCTCCGTTTCCCTTTCTTTCCTTCCAGGTGACTCTAGTGGATAAAGACCTCTTGAAGTTTCTAAAGCTCGAGGAGTTGGTTCTGTGTGCCAATAAAATTGAGGAAATCGATGCAAACAATCTACCCCCAACATTGAAGGTACAGGTTCATATGGGGTCTTAGAACCCAAGTTCTCCCTTGCACAGCTCAGGCTAGGGTAGCTGTGTGCTAAGACCCATGTTCCTCAACAAGTTATATAACCCACTTCCAGCCTTTCACAGTTATGCCCACAGAAATGAAGGAAGGGCTCAAGCAGGCTCTGGTTTACCAGTGTTCACAGTCCTGCTATTCGAAACAGCCGGGAAGTGGGAATGACCCAGCACCTATGGCCAGATGACCAGAAAACAAAATGTGGTCTCTCCATGAAACAGAACATTGTTCACTTATAAAGGAGGAAGGTCATTCTGATAGTCACCAAGAAAATATCACATCAGATGAAAGAAGCCAGATTAAAAAGAGAGAGAGAGATCTTATATATAATTACACTTAATGAAATATGTAGAAGTGCAGAGGCCACAGAAACAAAAGCCAGTAGAGGTCATGGGGGCCTCTAGGAAGGACCTGCTCCTCTGAGGAAGGACCAGGAGGTTACTGCTCAGTGGTCTTTTTCTTCCTTCCTTCCTTCCTTCCTTCCTTCCTTCCTTCCTTCCTTCCTTCCT